GCAGTCTCTCAAATTCAGGAACATGAAAAATGTTGAAATTACCGGAATCAGTTCCGTGAACGCAAAGGCCTTCCACATGTTCTTAGTGAAAACCGATAATGTCAACATCCACAACATTAAGCTTATCGCACCTGCGGAAAGTCCCAACACCGATGGTATCCATCTTAGCAATGCTGACAACGTTAGCATCCTGGACAGTACAATAGCAACCGGAGACGATTGTGTCTCGGTCGGTCGTGGTTCCAACAACGTAACCGTCGAACGAGTGATTTGTGGTCCAGGACACGGTCTAAGTGTCGGTAGTCTTGGTAAGTACAAGAACGAGGAAGATGTTAGTGGAATTCACGTAAAGAACTGCACCATGATCGAGACCGACAATGGTCTTAGAATCAAGACATGGGGTGGTTCAGGTCCAAGCAAAGCTACTGACATTCATTTCGAAGATATCATCATGCAAAACGTCAAGAACCCAATCATCATTGACCAAAACTACGGTTCAAGAGGCGGAGTAAGTATATAAATAACCGAGAAAATCATATGCCTAAACTCATAATGTGAATATATTGCTTATACAAAAAAATTATCTTTGTTTTGTAGGATTCACAAGTGGCGATTAGCGATGTGTTGTTCAAGAACGTGAGGGGAACAACAATTTCAAAAGACGTTGTTCAGATCATGTGTAGCAAATCACTACCATGCAAAGGAGTGAATGTCGTTAACGTGAACTTGAACTTCGTAGGAAAATCCGGAGGAAAGTCGGCGTCGGGAAGCGGTGACGGTTTGGTCGGAGCACTTTGCGACAACGCCAATGTTATATTTGGTGGAAAACTTAGCTTTCCAATGTGCAACAAATAAGCTTTTTGGTATAAAATAATTTTAATAAGTAACAAAAAAAATTGAGTATCAAAAGTTTCCACAAACAAAGTTGTTTTTTGTTTGTGAGTTAGTTTGGGCATTTCTCAACAAGAAATAATCATTGGAATATTTGACTTTTGATCATGTTTTTTTTCTTGATTTTTTTTTGGAATTTTGTATAAATAAACAGATCCTTCAGCTCGGCAGCTGGTTTGCTTAAAAATTACTGGTTAGAAGTTTGATCAGTCTTATTATTAGTGTGTACAACAGTTTTTACATAAAGTATAATTTGCTCTATTTAAAGGCATTCAAAGAAACAACAAAAATTATCAACTTATAATTGAAGTACTTTTCTTTCTTAAACATAACCAACCTATATTTGTGAATCTCGAAATTTTTAATAAACTCGGAACATAATTACTTTATATACATGCACACTTGTTATTTTGTTAACTACTAAAATTAAGACAACACATCTATTTTTTTTTTTTTGTGTGTGTGTGCAACTACGACACATCTATTCTTTTTCTCAAAATTAGTTAATAAGCTACTGAAATATAAGCTTGGTAACCAGCATATTGGAATTAGTCGTCGGATATAGATTTCTAATTTTCATATACAATTTTTGGAAAATGAACTGATTTGACGAATAAAGCAATAGTTTAATTCCAAGTTGTGCAAAATTAGCCGACTATCTAAGTTATACACTTTATTAAAATACACAATTAAGACAATTCCTGCCTACAGTATTTTTTTGTTCTACATATTTTATATAAATTTTTCATGAAAAAAACATGAGTTAATTTACAGTTTATATTCATTCATACAACACTTTTAAATGCATGTATTTAACTAAAAACAAGAAATCTAAAATTAAGGTTGTCAAACAAACCTAAACCACTTTCATTGGGCTTTGGAAACGTTCAACAACTTGTAATGGGCTTTTCAATATTATTAATTTAAAGCCCAATAGATTGCTCGAAGGAGGAGGAGAAACCCTAGAGAGAGAAAAATCGACAGATATAAATTCTTTCGTCTTCTTCGTTCAGCAGTCCTCCGCCACATCAATCTCCAGAGAGGGGAGAGTAAGCAAAAATGGTTTCTCTAAAGATCCAGAAGCGGCTCGCCGCATCGGTGATGAAGTGCGGGAAGGGCAAAGTATGGCTCGATCCGAACGAAACCTCCGACATCTCCATGGCCAATTCCCGTATGTTTTTCTTCACTCTTTCGTCTTTGCTTCGTTGCTAGAGTTTCTTTTGTTCTTCGTTAGTCTGCGATGGTGATATGAAATTGAGTTACTTCGGTTTTTGTACTGTAATCTCGTTGCTATGTTGAATCACTGGGTTCATTTCCGATCTGCAATTTGAAGCTCGTAACGGTCACTGCTGCTTGAGTTTTTAGTTATGAGCTTGTTGTAGACCTGTGATTTGATGGTATTGGTATTGGAGATTACTGTTTGTTTCAAGTATTTGGTTGATGATTGTGCTTTCTTATTGGCCCTTATGAGTTTGGATTGTTACAAACTTGATGATTGATTAATAGCTCTGGTTTTATTAAGAGCATGTTTCTTGTTTTTGAACAAAACGTAGGCCAAAACATCAGGAAGCTTGTGAAGGATGGTTTCATCATCAGGAAACCAACGAAGATCCACTCTCGTTCCAGAGCTCGTGTTTTGAAGATTGCCAAGATGAAGGGACGTCACTCTGGATATGGTATTAACATTTGAAACCTGAAAATCTCACAGTTTTTGACTACATGACATTGTATGATTGTGATTTTTGTTTCCCCTTGCTTTTGTGTGTGGTTAAAAAGGTAAGCGAAAGGGTACCCGTGAAGCTAGATTGCCAACAAAGGTACTGTGGATGCGTAGGATGCGTGTTCTGAGGCGTCTATTGAAGAAGTACAGAGAGACAAAGAAGATTGACAAGCACATGTACCATGACATGTATATGCGTGTTAAAGGTAATGTCTTCAAGAACAAGCGTGTCTTGATGGAGAGTATCCACAAGTCCAAGGCCGAGAAAGCCAGAGAGAAGACTTTGGCTGATCAGTTTGAGGCTAAGAGGGCGAAGAACAAGGCTAGCCGAGAAAGGAAACATGCTAGGAGAGAAGAGCGTCTAGCTAAGGTAAACTAAAACTTCATACCGTATCAAAAATATATCTTTGATGTTTGGATTTTTACATATGGGTTTGGATTTTGTCGGTGTAGGGTCCGGGGGGAGATGTTGAGCCTGCACCAGCACCAGCACCAGCTGCTGCTACTACTGCTCAGACTGCAGAGTAAGTCTGATCTTTATGGTTAAATAAAATCTAGTTTTGTTTCGAACTGTTTAACATCAAATATTCATATATGGGTCTATGATTTGTGTAGGGTACCGAAGAAGACGAAGAAGTCCAAGAAGTGAAATAGGATATAGCGAGAAGCTATATAGATCAGTTTTCACGGACTTGACTTGAAGAAGTTTTTGAATGTTTTATGAAGTTGGGTTTGTTGAAATATTTTGTTTGCGCAAAGAACATAACTTTATGTCATTTTATGCTTTCAGATTTTTAGTTTACTTCTCAAGAGACGTACTTTCAAAGAAGTTGTTTTTTATTTTTGGTGTAACTTATCCATCCATCGCTACATCACTCTGTCTAATTTAAACCTTTTTATCATAACAAATAATCTCTCGAACTTGTGGGCGTAAGTGGCAAAATCCTAACATCATAATTGCATGGTGTTTTAATTTACGAACAAAATTCTGAAGATTACATTAAAGAGAAAACAGTTAACAACAAATTTGTCTTGAAC